ATTTAAAAAGAAAAATTTTTACGAATTCTTAACTCAAAATTATTTGCTAATTTTCGTGATTTTTCCATATTTTGTCAATTTTTGAACTTTAAATGCTTATAAAAAAAAAACTGTGACTAACGATTTTTAATATTTTTCATCTGCCTTTGAAAAAATATACTAGGAGCCTTGTATTAAATTTTCAAGTATTTCTACTCCACAAATAAAGTTTAATTGATATTTTTAGAAAAAAACTAAAAAAAAATGGAAAATGAAAATGTGCCTAAACAGTTCAAAATAAATCAAAATATTTTGAAAATGTTATCGTGTATAGAAAAGGCAAATATAAACAACTAGTCAAAATTTCATGTTCTTACAGTCATTTGTTTTAAAGTTACACCAAAAACCAAATTCAATTTTCTGAAAAATCGATTTTGCGTAAAAATTCACGTTTTTCCTTAATTTTTCTTTTGTTTTTCTTGGCGCTTTTGAAAAGTACTGTGAATTTTAAATTTTGACCTCCCCAATGCACCAACGATATTCACTTTCCAATCGAACAAGATACTGAAGTCGAAAATCGAAGCATTATTTCGACTACTTATCGTGTACACAGACACAAAAAAAAACACACATCATTGTAAAATCAATACATTCATCGTTTCACTCAGAATCTAAAAACAAATTTAACTCTTTTAAATAAATCTACACACAAACATTCATTTATATATATTATATATTAATATATAAAAAGAAGAATGAGCAGAATGGTCAAACGACCAATGTTGGCCGCGTCTCCTTCAGTAGAGTTATACGTATGTGGATGTACTCATCTGATCGTAACTAAGTAACTTCGACTGATTGAAATGAATGAGATTGAGACGCTCCTTTAATATTCAAATTAAAAAAAATAACCATCGTAAATCTCAAAATTTCTGTTCTAGATCAATTCCCTTTTTAAATTCATCTCTGTGATGTCCTCTTTAATTTAAAAAAAACTGCAAGACGATCCAATAAGTAGTTTCGGAGTTAACCCCGAACATATACAAACAAACGCTATCATTTTATATATTAGTATGGATAAAATATAAAAAAATAGCTATTAATAATGTATTTTTCTGTTAGTAATATACAGTAGGTTATACTAAATATTTGCAAAAACTAACCGAGTATAATATGTTATACAATCATAATTCATAATTCCCATAAAATTGCTGTCAAGTCAAAAGGTAGTAGGTAGTAAGTACTATACATATTACATAATTAATATTCTATAATTTTTAGAAATTATTATGAAAGGGCTTTAATTAAAATAATTTGGGCTGTTATCGCCTATAAGAAGAGTAGGTACTTATAAGTTGATACCGACGTACCATAGAATGGTATTTTAGGCTGTCGCGTTGCATTGCCTATCCGTTACGCCCAAATTTGTTCATAATATTATACTTATTCAAATCGATACATTTTTATTTATTTTTGAATAACAGTATTTCAAATTTTATTTATCTTATGTACAACACTTAAAATACTTGTATAATTTAAATATATTAATATACATTAAGACATTAAATTCACCACAATGAATAAAATATGCATTACTTGCATATTCTTATTTATATGTATCCATAATACTTTAGACTTTTAGTTTAAAATGTATACATGTAGCATAAACTTTGTGAGAAAAGGGAATTCTTTATCAAGCTAAATTTATATTTCACCTGTTTTCTAGATGTTACTAATAAAGCAACAAAATATATTATAATATGTGGTTCAACATAAATTGAAAAGGAGTAAAAAATTGTTCACACTGTCAAAAAACTTGAAAAATTAATAAAATCTTCCTCACAAGTTTTTATTCATGGAAATTAAAAAAAAATACAAATAATCCACAATAGTCTTTCATTAGCTTCTGAAGTTTGAATATTTGACAAAATTCATTCAACTTTAGAATTTGTAAATTATTTTGCAGTTAACAATTTGTAATATGTTTTTATGACTAAAAATTGAAAATGTAAAACAAGATTTCTCATATTATGTATTTCATACAGTATAAAAAAAAAAATCTAAAAATTATATATGTATACATGCAGTTATTTTGAATAGTGATTTAAGTTCAAATTTTAACAAAATTAAATGCTGAAAAATATGATTTTAGTAAAGTTATTTATTTTTTAATTTAAATTTTAATTCACATCTTTATGTTTATTTATGATTTCATTTTGTGAATCGAAACATTTACTCCTTATACCTGGTACCTATATATTTATTTGAATGTTTGGAGCTCAAAAATGCATATACATTCTATGAATTAACCTGCTTGTCTTTTGCACTGCAATCTTGATTATGCATCATGTTACTGAATAATAACATTTTTTGTGTTCAATGGATTATGTGTAAAAAATCAACATTCTTCAGAACATCTTGATACTTGAGAATTGATAAATCTGGAGAACATATAACAACATTGTATAGTCCCATTTGTGTTTTTGAAATATGACATTGAAACAAATGTTATATTGCAATACCTAACATTTAGTAACAGTTGCGTAATATAATTCTGGAAAAAAAAAATCTTGAAGATTGCATATTAGTTCCTATGTCCGCTCATTTATAACAAACATTTTGATAACATTTCAATATTTTTGAAATATTTATACTGAATATAACTGAAACTAATATTTATATCAGTTATGTTTCATCACCTTCATTCACGAAACTGGTATGAATTAAATGACCAATATATATATATTGTATACGAATAAGTATACCTAATAATCAAATATTTGTATTCGCGATTGAAAGGAAATATAGGTAGTGCACTAGTCGATACTAATAATTACACTAACGGGGAATATGGTCGCCCGGGAGCCGGGGGTCTACACTCTACAGTCTACTTACTACTTTCTAGTTTCTACTTAGTTTCCTTAGTCTAATTTCTAGTTTCTACTGCAAGCAGGGCCTAAAATTAAGATATTTTGCTACTGCACACTTAATTCCACAACAAAATATTTTAAATAATGAACATAGACCTGGTAGTTCACACTCCACTTATAACTTCATTGCATAATTGTTTTTGCTATTTATTAATAATTAGTTATAATAAATACAATCTAAGACAATCTTCTATATAAGTCCTAGATACCTATATGGCTATATGACCTAACATTTTAAAATTAAAAACAAAATACCTTGGGTTAATATACTTATTAGAATATGGTGTAGTCGGTACTATTTTTAGTGTTAAGGATTTTAAATGAATACAATATGCTAATTAGTAATTTTCAATAATCAAAATTGAATATTAATCAAATAAAAATTTATAAAAGCCGAAAATAAGTACTGCGCACTTTTAAATTTGCTACTGCACACAATTTTAGGCACTGACTGCAAGCAGTACCTAGTTGATGCTCATGCTAAGTTTATTGTAATAGATGTTGAAGGTTATGGTCAGTCTAGTGATAGTGAGATTTTCAAAGAATCCTTATTTGGTAAACAATTAATACAAATTAAATTATATTTCCCAGCACCCAAAAAAAATTGATCAACATATTAATGAAGATTTCCCTTTTGTATTTGTTGGCTATGAGGAGGCTTACCCACTTTTACCTAATTTGATGAGACATTTCCCTAGTAGAAATTTAACTAACGAAAAACGTTTATGGTATATACAACAAACTATCCACAATCCCGTGCGAATAGAATAGTCGAATGTGCATTTGAAACTATGGTAAAAAGGTTTAACGTATTAGAAAATAATATGCTAATCAGACCTGATAAATAACTCGGGCGATTTGTGTACTTCATAATTTAATTTTGACTAGAGAAGCTAACTTCCTTTGTACAACTCTTAATAAAACAGTTTTAAACATTAAAAAAAATACTGTGTATAGAAAATGAAAATATAAACATTCAGTTAAATTTTCATGTATATACAAGTATAAGTTTTTTTTTTTTAATTACAACAAAATAAATGTAATTAATTGTATTAATTTCCTACCTATTTTAACACTGTGGAATAGAACAAGCTGTATGGGTATTATTAATTAGTATTTTTGGACTACTATTAAGGTAATAATTATGATCATACATTACAACTAACAATGTAGTATTCATACAATATTACAATAAATTAATTATTTATTAATTCGTATTTTGTGTGTGGTACTGTAGACCTGTAGTACTGTACTATACACATTTTCCCCATTATAATAATTCTGATGACTTCCATAGGGTAGCGCCTGTTCCGCTTTCAATCGAGAATAATAAATTTCAATAATACCTTATTGGAGCAGCTAGTATATTTTATTATTAATACATACAAATATATACATATATTGAGTCGAATTGAGATGACAATAAAATTAATTAAGAACGCATCAGCAAACAAATGTACTAAAGCAACAACTTAAAATATTTTAACATTCATTAAAATAAAAAATAAAAATATAAAAAGTGAAATTAAACATTATATTTTAACATGTAAAAATAAAAAATAAACATTCATAAATATTAACCAACACAATATAAATACTGAGAAAAGGATTATTGAATTATTGGGGAACCTCTGCTTTATTTTATGTTAATAATGTATTTGTGTTTATTTATGTGCTTGTTTATTTTTGAGTTTTATTATCACTGTTGACCATCTTGTAATTTTATACATTATATATATTTTTTTATTTTAAGTGTTTCTGGTGAACACAATACATCCTACACAATACCTAATTACAACAAAATTAAATAAATAAATATATTTATCAGATATAAAATAGATTAATAATATATGAATAAAAATAAATGATATTTAAATAAAATATAGGAAAATTAATATTATAAGTCAGTGTTGTGTTTCAGTTAATTAACTATGTAATTCGCTTAAGTGATATTGCTTATTTTAAATACAATTAGGTATATTATAAAAAAAATAATGTATTAGATATTTAGATGATAATTTATTAAATTATTTCGCAGATTTCTGTTGTCGTTATATAGATAGATAGAATATATGTTTATTCTTGCAAACTTCATTGGTCAATTTGCCTGAAAAAAGAAAATTATCATTAAAAAATTAAAAAGCAAGTAATAGTGAATAACGCTCTAACTATAATGGATGTTAGATTTAAAAACATTGATATAAAATTATTGTATAGGAAAAACAATTTGGTCTTAAAATGTGACACACATTATGAACTATTTATGGCCATCTTTGTCATACATTTTCAATCTTTAGCTATACAAATTGAACATATTATATTATACATTTTTAACTACAAAATAATTTTCAAATTTCCTAGATTTTGGATAAAATTTGAATTTTAAATACTTAAAAAATAATTGTGAATAATATCTTTCAACTAATATTATAATATCTTACGAAAAGCATTGTATTAAGTTTTCAAATATTTTGACCCCACAATTATTTTTTTTATTAACATTAATAAAAATAAAAATTACTGAAAAATATTTACTTTTAACCACCCTAAGTAGAATTTCATAATTACTAAGTTAACAAATTTCTTAATTGTTGATAGAAAATTAACCTACTTTGTTTCTTGTCGAGTAATTCTTAACTGGGCATGGACCAACCATCTACCAATTTGATTGTGAATTTGTTGATGTGTAGATGTTGGTTTATGGAATCGTACAACATCTAAAAATATAAGAACAGCATACAGCACTGTAGGCTTATGATAATAATATATTGTTATGTGTTATCCATTGATGATGACATACACTAACAATTGGCTTTTGCCTAAAAGATACATAGATATACTCACTTATAATGGTCTTCAAAAGTGTAGGGAAAGTTTCTTTGAAAGATATTTTTTTACGCCTTCCAGCAAAACTATATCTTATGGCTAAACAATTGGTCATCAGTTTTGCTAATATAGTATTAACAAAGGAGGTAAAGTCTGTACCTCCTAGGGCTTTTAATGTTGTAATCTGTAATCAAATATTAACAAATGGTCAATGTATTTATATTAATTAAAATATAATTGTTCAGGATTAAGTCAGTTATTATATGTCGGAGAAAACCTGTTTATAATATTATGATTATAATAAGTGAGCAAGATTAAAGTTAACCAATAGTTACTTAACACAACTTTAGGCAGATTGTATTTACCATTTTTGAATAAAACTCTTGATCATTTAACATCCTACTTTCTATTTCCAAAAGTTGAATTTCGTCAGATAATGGGAATCCAATATTTAGTTCGTTTACTTCATCGTCTGAGAAACCATAACTATTAGAATTAGTACGTTTATTTATGAAATTTTCCAACATTGTTTTTATTTCGTTGTTTTGTTTTTGTAATGATTCTATTTTTAATGTCATTTTTGATACATTTTTTGACATTGATTTTTTCCAACCTGCAACAAAAAATCAAACACATTATAAATAGTTATATAAAACTAAAGAGTTAATTTCATTTTTACTGTGATGATCGCAGGCGCAAGATTTTTTATGAGCTTTCATTGATGTTCTTTTAGGTGTAGATCGCTTTTTGGAATCTGATTTCGAGCCTTTCATCTTATCTAAATAATACTGAGCTCGTTTAAGTTTAGACACATCATTTTCAATCCAATCTAAATAAACATTTCTTAATATATATTTAGTTTTAATATATAAGATCAACTTAATATGATGAAACTAATACCTGAAGAACCAGGGCTTTGCATCCGAATTAACCCGAACCCCTAACACCCCTAAACACCCTTAAAAATTCAAACACCCGAAACCCATATAACCCGAATGATTCTATTTTCAAAACACCCGTATTAACCAAAACCCGAATAAATCATTCGGGTTAACCAGAAACCCGAATAATTTCATTTTTACAAACTCTTCATGTGATATATCATTTTATATGTATTTCTTGTGGCGCGTTCGATCCTTTAGTTAGTTGTAATTCAATAATCATTTTCTTAAAAATAAAATCCAATGAAATCCTTATTTGATTCTGATTAAAGACCTAATCGCCTAATACTAAATTATTTATTTTACCTAATATAGATTTATTACTTTATTTGTATATAAAATAAATCCAAATATAGCCTATAGTAATATAAAATAATAAATTTAGACATAGTCTCAACAGAACTGAATAACGTATTGACAGTCGTGACCAAAATATCAAATACTAATAAATAATAATTAATAATACTTTGTATTATTTGCCACAAATTTCCCAAGCGGTATTATTATACATTTATACCTAAACTATTTTTAACGAATATCATAAATTCATAATTCGAGGCTATATTTATTATTTACCAGTTTTCCGGAATTATTTTGTTTCTCTACGGCTCAACGCCCCTATGGCCTAACTATTTTAAATATTTTATTATATCCGTCGTCGTCTTCGCTAGTGGTAAATTGTTATGTTTGTAATTTGTATCACAATATGACGAACCTATCGCGCAGTCAATATTGTCAATTTTTGTTGCTGACTGCTGTTATTATAAATTTATCGTAACATTTGTAAGTATATTATATTATATTTTAATTTATTTTATATTACCTAATAGTTGTTATTACTTTAGATCAGTGGCGTTAGGTTAGGATGTGTTATATTTTAATAACAGTTTTAAGTATAACTTATATCTATAGGAAGTAGGAACCTAATAACTAATCAATATAATATAATATAGTATTTAAATACCCTTGATTGAGCTCCAGCTCTGGTAAGTAGATAATGTAGGTATTTGTTTGGTTGTTTGGGTTCACACTTAATACCTATGTTTAAAATAGTAAACAGATAGAGTAGGTATTTGGAACTTATAAAATGTATATTAAGAATTTAAGCCTTAAGAGTTAAGGTACATAGATTTTCATAAGTGATATAGACTCTAATGCATCCAATAAAATGAATAGGTAACTAATTAATTTCCCATCGCCTTAGTTCTTGTAGTTTCTTAAAAAAATGTAACTACTGTAGGTACATTAATACGAGTTTGGTCTAAAACAAATGTTGCAAATTCGTGTTGGAAATATATATTTAATTAAACATAACATAATAAGTCATTGCATAAATAATTTTTTTTTTTTGGGGGGAGGGGTCATCAAAAGCTATGTTTTTTTCCAGATTACTAAGCACCCGTATTAACCAATATTAACCCGAATAATAGTGGTTTTGAAAACCCGAATGTTTGTTTAAACTTTTTATTCGGGTGTAAAGCCCTGTGAAGAACCAATAATTCGAAGAATTGAACGTGTGGACCATGTTTCAGTATTTACTTCACAGCGAGTTGTTATTAACTTTTTTACTTTTATTTCGCTATAATTAGAGGGTGGCCAATAGCTTGAAGATCCGTCACTTGATACCCAATTATTTGGTACAAATTGAAGACCATCATCAAATTGAACAATTTTATATGCCATTTGTACAAAACTAATGAATTTAAAAAATAGTTATGAATATAGTAAAATATATTAAAAAAAAAAATTTAATATTTTATTAGTGTGTATGAACTATCGGTATAACAACAAATTTATCCTTCGTTGGTAATCTCCAAAGTATTGTTTTAATATCAGTAATTGTCCAATAACGTAAATGTTGGGACTTGTCAATATTTGCCACTATAGGAACGTCTAAATATTGTTAGATATACATGGAGATCGAACAACAAATATTTCACGACTTTCAATTATTTGAATAATACTTTTTACTGCAACCACTGCATTATTTTTTAATAAACAAAAACAGTTTTTCTTACTGTCACAAATAACAGACATATTTGAAGTCCAAAATTGTTTAAATTGAAGAACATTATTTTTACACAAGTTAGCAGTAAGTAGGTACTAAGTGAACCGTATGTATGGTTTTCCTTTAGACCTAAATTTGTGTTATTATTTTTAAATAAAACAGAATTATTATAATCTAATTCAGAAAATTGTTTAACTAATTGCTGTAAGGGTGTTTCAGATTTTCTAAGCATTTTTTTTAGGCTAGACATATAATTTTCAAACCTAAAAGCATTAAATTCATCAAGGGCTCCATACTTCTTTACATCATCTGTTAAATGTAAGAGATTATGAATATTGTGTGAAACATTATCAATACCATAAGTCTTTTGAAACTGTAATATGAATTGAATAAGTAATTCTTTGGCATAATGAATAAAATTATCATATTTTACCAAATTACAAATTATTAGAATTGAACTATTAGGTTTTTCAAAACCATGAAAATATCCTTTAACAAACGCTTTTTTTCTGTTAAGTACTTGAACATAAAATGGGGCATAAACAACTATTTGATGATTTTGCAATAGTTAATCAATCTACATTGATTAAAAGTTCAATTTCATTATCATTTTCATAAGAAATTTGTTCAGAAGCAATTATTTTTAAACATTTTCAACCCCATAACGCCAATAAAATCCATTTCCAACATTAGGTAAGATATTACTAGAAACATTTTTACTAGTTTTTAATACAGTAAGGGCATCAATAGGAAAATTAAAGTTAGTGTTTTTTGAAAATGAGCAAAAAGTTGGAAAGCGCAGTGTGTGTGATGTTATTATTAATTGCCCATTCTTGTAAACTTGACAAAAATGTTTCAGAACATGTAAGATTGTCATCAGATAATGAGTCAGATGTACTAGTAGGTCAATCAGAAAATAATTCTACATCACTATCAACTGCAGGATCATTTAAATTGTCAAAGTGTTCATTGGTTACGAAATCAAAAACTTCTTCATTATTCATTGTATTACATTATAATTATCATTTGATTGATTTGAATTATTACTACTATTTGATGAATCTAAATCGTAATCATCAATACTATTCGAGATGTGTAATACATCATCACTAGCAATAATTCGACTTAAATGTCTACTAGAATAAGACCTTACTAACCTTTTTCTTATATTTTCCATAACAAAGTACCAGCTATTAATTAAAAAAAAATCATAATATTAAGGAGTACCTAGGTGTATTTACTTTCAGTGGACACAGGTTTCAAAAAAGTTATGTCACCAGTTCTAAAGAAGAAAAAAGACTGTTTTGCTGTAGGTTAAAATTCTATATAGTTATAACTTACAAGTAACAACTTTAGTAAATAATAGCTGCTCTCTAATACACTCCACACAATAAAATTAGACAGTCACGATTTATGAGTTTACGACGCGCTCAGGCTTTGCCACGGACTAAGATAGATGTTTGTTACGACAAAATTACCGTACGTATTGATTTCTTATTTGAGATTAGAATTCGAACTATTGATTATGGTTATCAGTTATAATTTCTTAACACTGGTCCGAATTCTTATCAAATTCTTATTAAATACAAGGTGGATACACAGATATAAAATACTAGATAGCTAACAAGGCATCGAACATTGAAGTTATCCGCCATATGCGTGTAGGTCAATGTTTACATAATTGTCTTATCAATACGACATGATAACAATCTGATGGTCAAAATACTTTAATATCTGACGATGAAAAATTGAATAGGATAATATATGTGTTTTCATTAAAAACAATTGGCAATAGAAGTATATATTTTTTACATTGACCCACACGCATATGGTGGCTGACTTCAACATCGATTACCATAATTTACACAAGTTAGCTATCTAGTATTTTATATCTGTGGGTGGATATTAATATTATAAAGTATCAAATATATTTCAAAGGAGTTTTAATCGGCCGAATTTGGATATTTGAATATTATCTATTATCAGCCGATTAAGCGTTAACCGTGATTAACTTTGTTGGTGAAATCGGTCCGTGGTAATAATCACGATTAAAGATATACTTTCGTGTATATCTTTAATCGTGGTTATAATTAACCTATTAACAATATTAAAAACAATCTAAAATCTTCAGGTAAAAACTTATATCGGGTTATGGATATTATATTATAAAATGTAAATCACACTTGTATGCACATATCATTGTAAAACCAATACATTGATCGTTCTGCTTAGAATCTAAAATTAATAAATGGTTCAAGCAATACATGAATGAATAATAAAAAATAAATTTACAAATAAACATATTATATAAAAATGTTAGCAATTATCACATCTTGTCACAATATATTATGTATGCCTGTGAAATTAAATCAAATATTATATACGATAATACAGGACACTGGCATATAAAAACTGGCGAATTATTTCTTATCATTACCCCGCGAGATTGTCAAAGTAGTTGCCTATTTTACTCCTTGAAATGTTTATAAATACAAATTAATTTAGAACACCGACTTCATTTTATTGTTTATTTTCTAATGCCAATCAACGATTATAATTTTTAGTTAGAAATATTAAATTATTTAGATTTTAGATTATATAGTATTTGCATATTTACAGATACTTAAAATCTCCATAAGTTCATAAATTCTATTGGGAAATACGATAAACAATATAATGTTAAATGTAAGCTTTATAGTAGGTATTAATTAAATGTAATTCAAAACATATATTATGCTTATATATTTTACTTTTTTCATAATAATTATACAACACAAATCAAAATATGAAATTATAACATAAGTGCTTAAAACTGAATATCTAATAATAATAATTTTTCAATTAAATAAACATTGTACTCAAACGTAAACTACTTTTTTCAACTTTTTATTTTTTGAACATTTATATTGGTTGAATGAATCATTGCATTTCTTCACATAGCAATTAATACTCACATTTAAAAATTTATCCAAAAATTGAGAATTGAAGAGTCTTCACATATACTTAGTGAGTACCTTTTACAAATATGGCTTATAATAAGTTTAAGATCCTTTTTTAAATTACATTTTTTTTTTAGAATAAGGTTTTCAATGTTTGCATGAAAAAGTGCAGAAACATGTTTAGTAAATTCCAATGTTTTGGCAAGAGGATAAAGTAAACTGCAGCCATCATATTCCTTTATACCAATGTGTGTATTATCAAGATCAAATTTTTTATTAGTATCCTTAGTGGCCAGTTTTTCAATACATGGTTTATGATCCAATTGACCACAAACCCAACCTGTTACATAAGCGACACTATTTGCAGTTTCATCCTTCATTAAAATATACTCAATATTCATTGAACTATAGTAATCATAAATATTATCTATTTCTTCTGATTCATTATATGATCTATCTAATGTGATAATTGAAGTTTTTATGTCTTTTGATAAAGCCAAAAATTCAGAAGCATCTTTTTCGCAGTTGGCATTATTTGAAGGACTAATAAGCATATTACACATATTTATACGGATTGCTGATTGAATTTTTGATGCATCTGGTGTTAAGTTATTACCTCCTTTAGCTCTTAAAACTGAAAATAATGATTCAATACAATCTTGGGTCAAGCGTCTCATTAACAAGTATTCAATACCACATTTTTCATTTAATTCTTTAAACAACATTTGCACACAAATAATATTTTCTTGCCAGCCTATTATACAATGTGGTAAACTTCCTCTTTTATTGTTTATTTTCAACTCTGATAAAAATTTTAAAGCTTTTTTGAAAAAATCCCAATGTAAATAGTTTTTGGTTAATGGTCTTTTTAGAACAATAGGCTCATTTAATTTTATGCTATTAAAAACATCAAACAAATCATTAAAAAATTTAACAAATTTGGCTGTATATGCTGCCAAATACTATATACGATACTATACTATACTAATACTATATACTATAGTATATAGTATATACTTATGCAATGTACATAGTATACATGATATTAGATGTACTTTACATAATAACAATAATTGTATATCTACTAAAAAAAATGAAATACATAAGTACTAAAACTGTTGTAAAGGTTCATAATAACTAAAGTTTACTATGACGAGTTGTTTAAAATAATTTTTTCTTGATATTTATACCTAATTTTTAAAATTTTTTTTCAGTTATACGTACCTTAGTTATTGATCAATAATAATGTTCACTGCTAACATTAATTTAAACATATAGGTAGCCGGTGTTTATGTAATATTGAAGTCCTAAGTAGTATCTAAGCTGTACTCTCAAAATTTAGACTTAAAAGTAGGTATAAAAAAAAAAACATCTTTTTTTTATCTAGATAAAAATGTATTTATCTTTAATCTTTATCTAGATAGATTTGAATTTAATTATCTTTTATCTTTATCTAGATACATTTTCATCACATTATCTTCTTCTTTATCTAGATAAAAAAAAGTACTTATCTAATCCCAACACTGAATTTATTTACTATAGCACCAATGATAAATTATTAAGTGTGAAATTATCTAATAATTGTTATTATTTACAAAAACTAAATGAGAACATGTGAAATTAACTGATTAAATAAGAAAAATATTTTAATTTCATATTAATAAATGCTAAACTAGGTAAATAGCACAAATTAAAAATATTGAATATACATACATGGAGAACAATTGAACAGTTGAGATTTATTATTCAATCAAAACCGACAACTCTTTGAATAATTTTGGTTAATATCGTTTTATATTATATTATCTATTATTAGCACAAGGATGTCATTACAAATGTAAATGTACATTTGTATTATAGTATATTGATAATTACAGCTTTAAAATCAAAATGTATTACAGGAAAAATATTAATCTAATTTTTCAATTAAATTATTCACAGAGGAATTAACTTTACCAAGAGTGCTCGGTATGTGTTTGCTTCTTAAAGCTCTATGTTTGATACATTGCTCTTTATTTATTCACTGTAAGCCGTAAGTACTAAAAAAGTGGTTGTTTTGTATTCACTATTGAGCATATATATATATATTTTTTTTAAGACTTAGAATTTGATATTTTGTATACTTAATTTGTAGAATGGTCAGTATTGGTGATATGTCTATGTCTATCATTGTTTGTATCTCGGTGAAGCAATTCATTACCAGTTCAACCAGTTTAAATTTCTTTATAGTTTTTCCAAATATTTTAAATGGTAAATTAATACTTATATAATAAAATATTGAATAATGAATCATTTAAATATATTTTTTTACATTTTTAAAGGTTTAACACTAATTGGTCAATACTTAATTGTACGCAAGATTAATAAACCTGAATATGTCGAAGAAAATGTTGAAATGTTAATGAGTAAACTCAAAATTCAAATACCAAAAAAATAAGAAATATATTTGTAAATAAAAATAAGTATGACTATGGTAATATAGAATACAAGAAGAACCATTCAAGATTTGTTTTTTCAATTTTATAAAATTTATTCTTTCCTAGTTTTTTAAGTTTTTTAAATTGTACTTAATTAATTATATTTATATTTAATTGAATGCATTTCTGTTTGTAAGTAGTAATAATGTAATACATATTTATAAGTTTTTACAAAGTTGGTAGTTTTTAAACTGTTAGTTTTTGTTAAGAATAATTTGAAAAACAACCTACTTATTTTAGGCTTTTTAAAAACAAAAATAATTAATTAGGTAATATTCAATTCCAAATAAAACATTTTAATTTGTATAATATATTTTTTGTGATAACATTGTTTTTTTTTATGCCGATTGTTTCTGAGTACTGCCTGCTTTGTTTTGAGCAATAACAAATTCTGGATAATCTATAAAACCATCAAAATCTGTATCATCCATAGTTAATATAGGATCAATTAACTGCATCAATTCTTCATCAGTAAATATATTTTCCTGGGGAGGTGCTTCACCCGCTGCGGGATCATGATCACCTTGAATTAAAATTAAAGCATTTCAATATTTAACTAATTGAAAGAACACTAAGTATAATGACAAATTTTTAACAGTGTCCATTTTAAAAAGTTTTACTTATTTTTTTAACACTTTTTATTTGAGAAACCATTACCTACATAACCTACATTTTGAATTCATAATCTTTGATTCAGATAACTTCCCTAAAAATATTTAAGTATAAATAATGAATTGTTTTTTTTATTATCATTTACATTTTAGGTGCAGTTTAGTTAAGGTTAGATAGAAGGAATGAAAGGAGTTTTTGATTTTAACTTCTCAGAAGATTGAAATATGAAAACTTTGATCTGAAGAAGACTTCAAAATAAATTAAAATCAGAATACTTATGTTTTGGTAGATCAATCAATATGCTAAAATACGTCAAAATTCCTGTTTTATGTGTGTCAGGCAAAGACTTAAAATCATAACTAGTAATTACCATGCCAGTCTATAAGTGACTTGATAAGTTCACATCCATCTAATTTATTATTGTTATCTGCATCATGCATTTTGAAATAATAAAATTGTAATACATGTTCAGATATTTTGCTTGTGTCTAATGTAGGTAGATCCAAATGTTTTTTTATGTGCCTAAAATAACAATAAAATAAAGTAATATGGTGAAAAAAGTATATCATAAGTATAAACAATTTACTATTTGTAAAAGATTTAAAATTATATTTACTCGCTTTCTTCTGCTAAGTTTGGATTATATAATACTTGTTGTGTATGAGGATGATGTCCTTGGGAACCGTGGTCGTGACTCTAAAATATTATTAAGTATCATAATAAATTATGGAACAAAGTTTATCATATGTATAAAAGAATTATTCCTTATACAGTCTTACTGACAATTTATATAACTTATAAAAAGTAAGAATATTATTTTTCCTAATTAAACCTATAATTATATGACACTGAATTTCATGTGCGTAATAATATTATAAATAGATTGTATGAAAAATAATTTTATTCACTATGATTAATTTAAATATTTCATTTTGTAAACTAAATAGGTACGGGTGGTGGTTGTTGTTGTTGCTGCTGCTGAGGTGGTGGCGGCGGTTGCTGTTGGTAAGGTAATTGTTGAGAAACATTTTGTTGTGGAGTTAAATGTTGAATAGGTATCTTTAAGAAAACAATTAGTCAAACAATATATGATGTATATGCATTTGTTTGTAAGTATTTTAATCATTTATTTACTTGCTGTTGCTGTTGTTGATACAGTTGCCGATTGACACCTGGCGGTGCTGGTGCATATTGTGCAGACGATTTATGACACAAGACTACAAGAATAGGAAAAGTAACTAAAAGCGTTTTTGAAATCATTTTTGGTATTAACACTCATATATACACTTTTTAACGCTGAACACCATACAATATAAATAACGAATGTGTTGTATTTAAAATTCGAGTTAATTTTTTATGTACCTGATATGTGGAGTCGCCTTTAGTCAGCAACTTATATAGTTTTATCTAACAAATAACAATATCGTTTGGGGCCATTAATTTCAACTATATTTTCAACAGACAGTAAACAAATAAGATTTATATCACTAGAAAAAACGGTTTTTTATCACTATCATAGATGGAAAACATGAAGATTAGAGGAAGGACGCCGAACTGTGTACCTATATAAAAGTGGTCCGGAATTATCGCATTCCGCCAGAATGCGCGTCGGACCGTAATGATGTCGTTTTACATGTACAGCATAGGGAATTTATTGGTGTTTTAATATTATATTCTAAATTGTGTAACTTATGAATAATTACTATAGAACATTTTTTAAAACCAAATTGCCCTCGATCGAATATATGTGTTTCCAATAATATATGACTTTTATAAAGAAAGATATAGTTGTTTTAAAAAATACATTCGAATTTTTTATACATAATATATCAATAGGCAATATAGTATCAATATAAATTATAATATTGTTCTGTGATGTAATGGATTATGGATATATGGACATTAATTGAGCCTTTGAGGCTTTAGCTTATTATGCAGACGCCTGACATACAATCGTAAGTCGTAGGCAGCAAATACAATAGATATAGATTATAGCTAGTATTTGGTGACGGGCGACAGTGAAGAGTGAATCGTAATAAAACGCATGAAAATGAATCGATATTATATTACCTATATCTATATTATTGTGTATAAAAAGTTCGAATGTATTTTTTAAAACAACTATATCTCTTTTTATAAAAGTCGTATATTATTGGAAACACTTATATTCGATCGAGGGCAATTTGGTTTTAAAAAAATGTTCTATAGTAATTATTCATAAATTTCACCATTTAGATTATAATAATAAAAAACCATTAAATTCCCTATGCTGTACATGTAAAAACGACATCATTACGGTCCGACGAATGCGATAATTCCGGACCATGTTTTTACGCTTCGTTCTGCTGTGTTCGGCGTCCTTCCTCTAATGTTCATGATGGAAAATATCATATCAGTTTGGCTTGTAATAAACAACAAATAACATTATTACAATATCACCAATATCACTGGCCAGCGAAAAATGGCGTAAAAAGCGTAACATTTTTCGAAAAATTTGAAAACCAACCGACCGCCGCTGCGCCGAAGGTACGCGATTGGACGCGTTAAGGAATCAACGGGAACAGTCGGCGGACTGTAGAAACGGAGCGGTGCTTCATTTTTTACCCCACGGTTTCACTATAGCCGTCGTTTTCCGT